GTTGCTGGGGCCAGCATGGAACCTATGGACAAACCCACTTAAAGCCCATATTTCAGCCCATATAGTAACCTTGTAGTACCCACAAAAAACTAAAGCTGGGACCAAGATAGGTCTTGTGCATGTGGCCCAGTTGGGGCCCACCTGTTTATAAGTGCGATCCTACATTAAACCCACCTGGGCGATTTACATGGCACCATAATGGAACCCATGGACAATCCCATACAGAGCCCACTTTTCATTTCAAAGCCACATGGGACCCACATACAAATGTCGGCTGGGTTAAAGCTGGGCCCGAGATGGGTCTTGTGCATGTTGCCCACTTGGGTCCGGCCTAGTACCAAGTGTAATCCTACATAAAATTCATCTGGGCAATTTACATAGGGCCATTATGTAACCCGTGGACAATCCCATACAGAGCCCACTTTTCATTTCAAAGCCACATGGGACCCACATACAAATGTCGGCTGGGTTAAAGCTGGGCCCGAGATGGGTCTTGTGCATGTTGCCCACTTGGGTCCGGCCTAGTACCAAGTGTAATCCTACATAAAATTCATCTGGGCAATTTACATAGGGCCATTATGTAACCCGTGGACAATCCCATACAGAGCCCACTTTTCATTTCAAAGCCACATGGGACCCACATACAAATGTCGGCTGGGTTAAAGCTGGGCCCGAGATGGGTCTTGTGCATGTTGCCCACTTGGGTCCGGCCTAGTACCAAGTGTAATCCTACATAAAATTCATCTGGGCAATTTACATAGGGCCATTATGTAACCCGTGGACAATCCCATACAGAGCCCACTTTTCATTTCAAAGCCACATGGGACCCACATACAAATGTCGGCTGGGTTAAAGCTGGGCCGAGATGGGTCTTGTGCATGTTGCCCACTTGGGTCCGGCCTAGTACCAAGTGTAATCCTACATAAAATTCATCTGGGCAATTTACATAGGGCCATTATGTAACCCGTGGACAATCCCATACAGAGCCCACTTTTCATTTCAAAGCCACATGGGACCCACATACAAATGTCGGCTGGGTTAAAGCTGGGCCCGAGATGGGTCTTGTGCATGTTGCCCACTTGGGTCCGGCCTAGTACCAAGTGCAATCCTACATGAAATTCATCTGGGCAATTAACATGGGGCCATTATGTAACCCGCGGACAATCCCAATCAAAGCCCATTTTTCAGCCCATTTCAAACCCACATGGGACCCACATACAAATATTGGCTGGGTTAAAGCTGGGACCGAGATGGGTCTTGTGCATGTTGCCCACTTGGGTCCGGCGTAGTACCAAGTGCAATCCTACATGAAATTCATCTGGGCAATTAACATGGGGCCATTATGTAACCCGCGGACAATCCCAATCAAAGCCCATTTTTCAGCCCATTTCAAACCCACATGGGACCCACATATAAATATTGGCTGGGTTAAAGCTGGGACCGAGATGGGTCTTGTGCATGTTGCCCACTTGGGTCCGGCGTAGTACCAAGTGCAATCCAACATGAAATTTATCTGGGCAATTAACATGGGGCCATTATGTAACCCGCGGACAATCCTACATGGGGCCCATTTTTCAGCCCATTTCATACCCATATGGGCCCCACATACAAATGTTGGCTGGGGTTAGAGATGGACACATTTCTAGCATAGCCCCTCTTCTGAGAAAACCTAGTGATAGATTTTTTTAAATCTCATCCGAAATGAGCAGTGTTGGGCCAGGCATAACGCATTCAGATTATTTGGTTGATGTTACAAGGAAAGTAATGTGTTAGAAGTAACATGCATTACATAATCAGATTTGTTTTAATGTTTCAAGTAAAGTAATGTATTACAAGTAATATGCATTACCTACTCAGATTACTTTTTGATCTAACAATTAATTACAAGTAATGTGCATTACGTAATCAGATTACATTTTGTTGTTACGAATAAAGAAACGCATTACAAGTAGCATGCATTACATAATCAGATTACTTTTTGATCTAACAAGCAATGCACTACAAGTAACATGCATTATTTAATCAGATTACTTTTTGATCTAACAATGCATTACAAGTAACATGCATTACATAATCAGATTAATTTTGATCTAACAAGTAATGCAGTACAAGTAACATGCATTGTGTAATCAGATTACTTTTTGATGTTACGAGTAAAGAAACATAGGTAAACAGATATTTTTTGATCTAAGAAGTAATGCATTATGTAATTAGATTACTTTTTGATGAAATGAGTAAAGTAATGCATTACAAGTCACAAATTATGTAATTACATAACTTTTTTAGATGTCAATGAAAATTACATTCTAATAATACAACTACATTTATTTACAGTCAAAAAAAGTTACTGCAGATTAAGTATTTTCAAAAACAATATTCACAGTATAAGTATAAATTGTAGCTAAAATATAGCCATTGATGCATGAGGTCCACTATAGTAGACGGGTGATTTATCAGATTTTTCTCCCAATCTAAAATCAAAACTTGGAAAAAAATTTTTTACCTACAAGAGTGTCCTAGGATAGAAGGAATGGGTGGATATTCCGGAGCACCTTGGCATGTCTGACTGGCCATTGGCCATCTTGGTTTTGAGGGGGGAAAAAAATCAATGGCTTATAACTTTGTTGCAATGCATAGAATGATGCACCAGGGTCCACTGAAGAGATTGATGTGCAACTTTCCCATCAAAACCCTTGCAAATTCAAGAAAATGCTTTTTAAATAGCTGTCCACTGTAGTGACCACTATGCATGAAAGGGTTAATCTAAAGGCACTCCAGGCGGATTGACCCTTCATTGAGTGCACTTTCACTTTTGGACAAGAATCATCTGCTAAATTGAAGTTATTTAGTAATAACTGGAGCAACTGGAGCATTGTCTAACCAACACTTTGATGCTATGCCAATCTATTTTAAGAACAAAGTCAGGAAGATTGTGCATTTACAGAAGGGTTATCAAAGTACAAATCAGAATGCAGTTTTAGCAGATGGTTTGTAGGGACCCTAGGTGGGATTGGGCCACACACTGGTGTAAAAACAATATAGCAATAACAATAGCAGTACACATACAGAAACGTTAAAATGTATATGAATGTATAAGGGAATTTGAGCATTCAATTTCATGTCAGCCATATGAATAGGACTACCTTTTATTTAGTGCTACAAAATTGGCCTGCAAAAAGTGGGACAGAACTTTGTTCAAAAGTGAACAGAAAACGTCTCGGTTACGGATGTAACCCTCGTTCCCTGAGTAGGGAATGGAGACGTTACGTCAGAAGTAACGGAGAATGGGGGTTTCGCATAGAAAGCCAATCCTCTACGAGTATTTAAAAACGAGCCAATGGCATGAAAATGCCTTGGGGCTGCATAATTTGCATAGCGTATCTCCGCCCCACGCAGTGGGTATCAAAGGAGGAAGTGAACGCAACCGCAGTATGTCTTCGCTGAGGAGCCAAGGCTGAACTCCGACGTCTACCCAGCGATACAGCTGAAGTGGCAGGGAGACGTAACGTCTCCGTTCCCTACTCAGGGAACGAGGGTTACATCCGTAACAGAGACCGCTCGGTATTTGGAATACAGTTACTTTCATCAGACAGAAATAGACAGTCATTGTACCTATTAGAGCGCTCCACCGGGGGCATCCCAGTGTACCCACGGGCGGCCCCACCATCGAGGGGAGGAAAGGCGGGGGAGGCTAGAGCGCGCTCTCGGGAGGAAAAAGGAGCCTTCCAACTGCGCGTCAGCTCCGCATGCAGCTCGGGGAAAAAAGGTATTGGGGTCGGCTGTGGCCTTGCGGCGGCAGCCTTGCCCAAAAACCAATTATCCATCCGTGAGAGATCGGGGCAGGGCGGAGGGTTCCACTCTAACCCGATACTCACGGCGGCCCAAGATAGCATGGCCGTTAACTCGGGATCAGACACGGGCAACGCTGGCACTCCCGAGGGAGGCAACGCAGCCGCATCCTCATCTCCCGAGGAATCAAGCCCGCCTTGTGATGCTGCGATCGACATCGCATCATCCTCTGGAGCGCCGAACGAAACAGACGGTACCTGCGAAGATGCAGACGGCTGATTCGAACTGGCGCTCGCTGGCTCTAACACTGGAGCGGGGGGTGTGGCCCGAGGAACTATCGTCGGGGCTTTGTTCCACACTGTCACCGTCAGATCACCCTGCCCGCGAGTCGAAGAGCTTCTCGTGGAAGAAGCAGATCGAGTAGCAGGGACGGGGACTCTCACTTTAGTCAGATCATTGAGTCTAGATCTCAGTGTAGAGATGGTCATGTTCCCACAGAGGGAACATGAGTCATCCACGAATGCTGCTGCTGCATGCTGAATGCCCAGGCACACAGAGCAGCGATCGTGACCATCAGAAGATGACATGAAACGACCGCACCCAGAAGAACACGGGCGAGACATCTTTAAAAAGATGTGCCACGTGCAGCTCTTTCAATGAGAGGAGGAAATTCACTCTTTCAGCGCTGAGGCGACCAGGGAGAAGCGCAAAGTCTGGCAGACCACTGCTCAGATCGCAGGCGATGCAGAATCTCGCTGGGTACCGCCGTCACACCAACACTGAAGAGGACGCTCGTCTCGAAGAGTCTTGAATCAGTGAGAATGGCTTTAGGAGTGAAGAGGTCTCTTGGCTCCGAAGCGAAAACATACTGCGGTTGCGTTCACTTCCTCCTTTTATACCCACTGCGTGGGGCGGAGATACGCTATGCAAATTCCGCAGCCCCAAGGCATTTTCATGCCATTGGCTAGTTTTTAAATACTCGAAGAGGATTGGCTTTCTATGCGAAACCCCCATTCTCCGTCACTTCTGACGTAACTCGAAGTGACTACGAAAGGGAACACATGAAAATAAGGTAGGCTACATCAATGTGGGGGGAAATAAAACTCAATAGATTCACTTTAATAGTATTTTAAAACAAACAAATATAAACATATGCAACGATTATACACACAAACCTCTTAAAACAGATTTTTGCATCTTTTTGTCGACAGTATTTGCATTTATAGCTCAGATACTTTTTAGAAAACGTTATAATCCTAATGAATGAATAAGCAATGTTTCTACTCAAAAGTGCATTGAACACATAAGCGTTTTAATACTCACAAAGTAAACTGTCCGTCATTCATTCCATGTTCTGTTGAACTTTAGCACTTTTGCAGAGTCTGTGGATGATAACAAGGTGATAACTGGACATCCCTGCTGCTGCAAGACATGATTAAATTATGCCGAAAATGCAGTGCTAGGCTACTTATTTTGCTGTTACTGTACTGCGATTCTTTTTTTTTTTTTTTTGTCATTTTTGGGAAAACTTATCTTTATGCTGTTATGCATCTTTGGTTGTCGCCGTGATTGTGGTTTAAATATTTGGCTAAATGATTAGGTCTGTCCATCGCTGAGTTAGCGAGTAGGTAATTTAGTTACAGCGGAACAATGTTCCGTCACTGATTTATCAAAATTTATGATAATTTTGTGTGTGCTGATAGTTTTGACATATTCAATATTGACATATTCTATTTACTTTGTTTCGAGAAGAGGCGAGAATCCTAAAGCAAGCACATTTTATAAACAAAAAAAGCCATGAAACAGAACTATAATCCACACAAGGGAATCAGGAACATAATCCAAACAGAGAAGCAGGAGCCCAACAACTTAGAACACAAACATACAGGAACAACAACTGACAAAACACGACTGAAACACAAGGGTATAAATATGCAGGGATCACAAGGTCCCAGGGACAGATGAAGGATATTAGATAGGCTACTAAAAAAAAACTATAAAAACTAACAAGGTAGGCAACAAAAACAAAGGAAACAGGAACTAAACACAGATCACAGGAACAATGGGAACAAAACTAAAACTAACTAGGCCATACAAAACTTGATTATTATTGATTGTCATAAAATAGTGTCAAAATATCAGATGTAACATACATATAGTAAATGCAACCGTTCCTTAATTATGCAGCATATATAGCAGTTATTCTTCTATACTGATTATACTGATAATAAACTACATAGCCTGCAATATTTAATTTGCTAAAAGTTAATTTTAATTGAATAATAAATAATGTTATAAAATTAACAGAAAGAGTATGTAGCAATGAATAAAGTAAATTAGAGAGAAAAAAAATGTTAATAATAACGTGTAAAATCTGACAGGTACTCACATGATCTGAGGCTGATCAACCCGATCACACTAAATGCGTCTCTATAGCACGCAGACACAAAGTCCTGTAAAATTAGAGAAATGTGTCTTATATCCTCTGCCTGAGTGGGTGTGCCCATTCTAGCCAACCATGGCACCTGTCTGTTGATGTTTTATTAAGGAAACGGATAACAGGATAATGTGTAATTTAGATGATATATTACAATGGAAGTATGAAAGTCAGAAAAACCTGAATCATACATTTTATAAAAATGCCATAGTATATGTGTACTGGCATCACCAGTAATTGCTGAGAGGGGTTTTCTTGCCTAAATTCTGACAGCAAATGTAAAACACAATTTGCCTTTGATAGATAAACCGATCTCAGCTTCAGTAAAAGTTTAACTATGACCACATGTTATGCAATAGTGAAGGTGACTTAAAACAAGTGCTGAATATTGTTGAAAAATACATAGTGTGGTCTAGTAGTTTTACATAGTTTTTAGTTCAATTTTAGTTGTAAAATATTTGTTTGAAATAATTTATTTAGTGTTGTTAACACTATTATTTACATGTACATTTTCCAAATAATGTTAACAACAGATATTTTTTTTATATATAATTGTATCTGTAATGTTCTATGAACCTACTGACACCAACATTAGTAACAACTAAAACAACTTCTGTAATAAATGATCAGGTTAATTGACTAAACACATGCAAGGACACAGAAAAGTAAAGTAATCAGAAAGACTGAATAGGAAGATTCTAGTATTTCAATATTAGATTCCAATGACGGTATTTAGAAAAAATGTATGTAATGTGCACTATTGCCAAATGTTTTGGGACACCTGCCTTTACATGCAGATGAACTTTAATGACATCCCACTCTTAATCCATAGGGTTTCATTTGGAGTTGGCCCACCCTTTGCAGCTATAACAGCTTCAACTCTTCTGAGAAGGCTTTCAACAAGGTTTAGGATTGTGTTTATGCGTTACATCTCTGGATATTTGTATTTTGATGTTTTATGTGGTGTATATGCAATATTTTATGTTATTTTATGTGTTTACCTGCCCAGGGACCAGATGTAAGTTAGCTATTAGCTAACTCTGGTGCAATTACTTTTGATTGTTGATTGTTTATTTTTACATTGTCCCTGTAAAAATAAACAAAAATGAAAATTGCGAATTTTTGACCAATCTTCTAGAAGCGCTTTTGTGAAGTCAGGCACTGATGTTGGACGTGAAGGCTCCCAGTCTCCCCTCTAATTCATCCCAAAGGTATTCTAATCTATAGGGTTGAGGTCAGAACTCTGTGCAGGTCAGTCAAGTTCCTCCACACCAAGCTACTTCATGTCTTTATTGACCTTGCTTTGTGGACTAGTGTGCAGTCATTTAGGAACATCCCCAAACCTTTCCCACATGTTGGGAGCATAAAATTGTCCAAAATATCTATGCTGAAGCATTAAGAGTTCCTTTCACTAGTACTAAGGGGCCAAGCCCAACACCTGAAAAACAGTCCCACCCAGTCCCATAACTCCCCCTCCACCAAACTTTACTTTATTTTGGCACAATGCAGTCAGGTAAGCACCGTTCTCCTAACAACCACACCAAACCCAGACTCGTCCATAGGATTGCCAGACTCCTCACTCCCGAGAACACGTCTCCACAGCTCCAGAGTCCAGTGGTGGCGTCCTTTACATCACTGCATCGGGCGCTTTGCATTGTACTTGGTAGATGTAAGGCTTGGATGCAGTTGCTCAGCTATGGAAACCCATTCCATGAAGCTCTCACACTATTCTTGAGCTAATCTGAAGGCCACATGAGGTTTGGAGGTCTGTAGTTATTGACTCTGCAGAAAGTTGGCGACTTCTGCGGACTGTGCGCCTCAGCGTGTTCTCACCCTGCTCTGTGATTGTGCGTGACCAACCAATTTGTGGCTGAGTTGCTGTTGTTCCCAATTGCTTCCACTTTGTTATAATACCACTAACAGTTGACTGTGGAATATTTACCGATCACAGCGCCATGCTTGAATTCACTGAGCTCCTGAAAGTGACCCATTCTTTCACAAATGTTTGTAGAAGCAGCCTGCATGCATAGGTGCTTGATTTTATACAGTTGTTACTGTAGAAATGATTAGCACCTGAATTCAATGATTTGGATGGATGTCCCAATACTTTTGGCAATATAGCAGTGTTGTAGTCGAGACCAGCTCACTCTAATCCGAGACCATAGAGAGTCGAGTCTGAGTCGAGACCGAGACCAAAGAGAGTCGAGTCCGAGTCGAGACCGAGACCAAAGAGAGTCGAGTCCGAGTTGAGGCCGAAACCAAAGAGAGTCGAGTCCGAGTTGAGGCCGAGACCAAAGAGAGTCGAGTCCGAGTTGAGGCCGAGATAAAAGAGAGTCGAGTCCGAGTCGAGACCGAGACCAAAGAGAGTCGAGTCCGAGTTGAGGCCGAGATAAAAGAGAGTCGAGTCCGAGACCAAAGAGAGTCGAGTCCGAGTTGAGGCCGAGATAAAAGAGAGTCGAGTCCGAGTCGAGACCGAGACCAAAGAGAGTCGAGTCCGAGTTGAGGCCGAGATAAAAGAGAGTCCAGTCCGAGACCAAAGAGAGTCGAGTACGAGTTGAGGCCGAGATAAAAGAGAATCGAGTCCGAGTCGAGGCCGAGACCAAAGAGAGTCGAGTCCGAGTTGAGGCCGAGATAAAAGAGAATCGAGTCCGAGTCGAGGCCGAGACCAAAGAGAGTCGAGTCCGAGTTGAGGCCGAGATAAAAGAGAATCGAGTCCGAGTCGAGGCCGAAACCAAAGAGAGTCGAGTCCGAGTTGAGGCCGAGATAAAAGAGAGTCCAGTCCGAGACCAAAGAGAGTCGAGTACGAGTTGAGGCCGAGATAAAAGAGAATCGAGTCCGAGTCGAGGCCGAGACCAAAGAGAGTCGAGTCCGAGTTGAGGCCGAGATAAAAGAGAATCGAGTCCGAGTCGAGACCAGATAGGTTGGATAACCTAATTTTTTAAATATGTAAAATATTTGGCGGTAACAATAAAATTGGCACCATACTCAAACAGTAAACCAAATATACCATGGTATCATGTTATGTACACTGTAATGGTAAAAAGGCCATATAGTGGTGTAAAGGTAATTTTCTTACAATTGTGACTTACAATTATTACAATCAGTAAGTGCTCTTTCACATAATATTACTGCACACGAATTCAGTGTGGCTCTTATATGCAAACTGAATTATGCATGATAAGGCAGACATTTTCAGTACATAGTTGAGCTAGAGGCTCCACATCACATCAGACCTGGGTCCTGCTGCATTTGCGTGCCATGGACATTATAGTCTCAAGTCATGCGCAGTTGCGCTCAAGAAAGTCAGCAATCATTGGACGTTTCAATCAAAAACAATTTAAAGAAATATTAACATACAGTAATAATCATGACATATTTTGAATGGGGTGCACTCGGGAATAAGTCCGAGTCCTAAGTCAAAACGATTCCATGACAAGGCCGAGACCAATAAAATATGGTCTCGAGACCGAGCCTCGAGTACACAACACTGCAATATAGTGTATTATTTGTATACTAGGATATGCATGAACAAGACAATAGGTTCTATTTGTGTCATAACAAGGACAGACTATGTTGTAAGAGCATATAAAAAAAAAACAGTGATGAAGTCAAAGGTAATCTTTGATTAATCTACATGCAGTATCAAACAGAGAACAGCTTTTAACACAGGTAACACAACTTGATAACTTTGAACAGAAACAGAGGAACTTATCCAAACAAGGATGATTAATGACACACCTGAACTAAATGACGAAATCAAGTCAATAACCATCAGGAAGATGGTGCAAACTGTTTTCAGTGTTTCATTTTAAATAGCTAATCAGCTTATAGTCACTAATATTTATTAAGAACAATGGACAAACCTTATATTACTTTTGGCAATATGTTTAATCTGATACTCTGTCATTCACATCTTTGTTAATCACGATGTAGTGATTAATCACACATTTTTATGGCTGGGTGGAACTTTAGGGAGGGCTAAAATCCCTTTGGGCCTACTAGTGGGTAGACCTATAGGCTACGTATTCACAGTCACACATATAAACTATATTTAACTCTACATGTAGATGACCACTAGAAATGTTTTATTATGATTATACTGTTTTTTATATTTGTATTTCATGTGACTTTTATTTTGGCATCATTCTATCTTTTTCTCTAAGCTCTTGCACTTACTCCTAAAAAAAGGTTAACGCAAGAAGGCACGATATAAAACAAAGTTTAGAGTCAGAGGTTGGACAATATTACTGTATCCTTCAACTAAAATGTTTTTCCTTTGTTATTACTCTGCACTTATTTTGTTTGGAAGTAATAATTCGAGAATAGTTTACGAAGTCTCTGGCTCAGGGCCAACCACTACCAACCAGGGCCAACATTTGGTAGTGATGTCACGTCACTGTTATACATCCCATGTGGTACCGTAGCCTACCGCTCAAAACATTTCATCATATACAAAAATGAAACTGCAGGGGCACAAATCCGATCTGAGGGGGCAATGCCCGCTTTTGCCACCTCGTGGCGCCGGGCCTGTCTTATATTATTGCTCAAATAAAAATTAAATAAAATACCATCGTGATTTTTAAGTTGACTATATGCCGGCCTTTATTGCTGTGAAGCACTGTGGAAAACAACTGTGTGATAAATGCCGCCACAACTTTTTTGCAGTTGACGAACCGTCTTGTATCGCTTCCCATCATCATATTACATGAACTGCATTTATAAACAACAAAACAGAGGCAGAAATAAATGTAGGCCCACATACCTTTTCTCTGCTTCAGACGCTTGCACTGCTGCGGAATAGGCCAGTAGCACCTCAATGCAGTACATAAGATCCACAGGGAGGAGTCAGATCAAGATCCAAGGGGTGGAGATGGGTGGGATTAGGGTTGGGTTTAGGGATTAGGGGTGGGTTTAGGGATCAGGGGGCAGAGTTGGGTAGGTTTAGGTGTATGTGGGAGTTGGATCTGGATCCGACTCCTCCCCGTGGATTTCATGTTCCGCAGTGAGAACCATCTCAAATGGGCCTATACGGAGAAAAACCGGCAGTTCAGAGATATAAACTATTCTGAGGGGAAGTCCTTTTCCCCCTTAGAATTGGACTTTAGGCTACACACAATTGCTTATCTCACAATCAGAATTGTGAGTTAAACTATTCTGAGGGAAATAGAATCGCGACACACCCCTTCCAACTCCCAGAGTTATCCTTCCCCTCCAGATCATTTAATTAC